GGGTCTATAGAAGGAATGCAATCGTGCGAGAGGCATAACTCGCACACGAACTTACAATTATGGTAAAATTTGTTATTATAACCCTTAAAACAAAGGTTACAAAAATATTTGACTTCAAAAAAGGCTGTTAGTTTTGTTATTAAATCGTAATGATTATCGTGATGGTATAAATAAATCTGTTTTTCTCTATGTTCACCACTAAAAATTACCGAGTGAAGATTGTCTCGAGAAATCACAATGATTTGATATTCGGGTAGAACACCCTGAAAACGTTTAAGCTCACTTATCCCACAAAGCCCCTTATCTACACCAGCCCTTATTAATAATTGTTCAGCCTCATGTTCCTGATAATATCTACCCCGTCTAATATTATCCCATTTAGATTTATTATTAATTTTGTCTTCTAACATCGAAATACCCGTTACAATGGCTTTAGAGCAGCAAACGTTTTCATCGTTGTCGTCTTTAATTCGAATCAAATATCGGGAACCACCCACAGCCTTATCTATACCCTTTTTGAAATAACGATCATGACCACCACCACCAATTGGCATAGGAATATGTAAAATATTAAATTGTAAATCGTCTCCCACTAAAATGTTCATGTGAGACTGGAGGACTTTAGAAATAGCCGAAAAAATTATTTCAGGAGTTATTCGTTCCCTCATCATAAATGGTAATGATATAGGGTTATCTAAACCATTCGCTCTAATAACGAACCTGACCATATCATGCTGTTGAACATTTATGAAAATACTCTCTAAAACATAATCAAGAATTCTATTAAGCGTAGGTAAAATTTCAATAATTCTCACATCATCCAAACCTATTAATGTAACCAAGTGATCGCTCGCTAACATGTTAAATTTTTTGTTCAATTTATCATTCAATTTCCGAATAACGCATAGCTCTCTTACGTCTATATCATTGAAATCCTTTTCATCGTCCTCGTCGCTATCCTCAGTATCTCGCATCCTCTTAATGCCGCGATCAGGCTGAAAATCAAGAAAAAAAAAAAGTAAATACAATATACATCAATTTTTAAAATCAGGACAAATTAGGCAAAGCAGAAACTTAACTTACCAATTTTTTAGCGTGTTTCCCATATCCGAATTGAACTATAACGCCTTCATCGTCGTGGTAGTTTTCATCGTCTTCCTGTTCACTTTCATACATCATCTTCTTATGTTTACCTAGACCATGCTGCCGTCTCGCGCTTTTATTATCATCTTCGATTTCTACGTCTTCGTCTTCATCATCTTCAAACATCATTTTCATATGTTTACCTTGGTCGTGCTGTCGTCTCGCGTTGAAATAATCTTCTTTATTTATTAATTTACTATGCTTTCCTAAACCTAAACGTCCATGTCTCTGAATTTCAAATACAGCCTGTTCACACGCAGTGCGTATGTCATCATCAGAATCTTTGTCTTCCTCTTCTTCATCAAAATCGTTTAAAAAGTCAAACTGAAGTAACATTTAAAAAAAAATTTAATACAAAAAAAATTTGATTTGAAGCTTTATTATTTGTTTCACGGAGAAGCAATCAAAGTTGATCAAATCGCAAACCCACGAGGACGAAAGAAAGCATTCTCCTCTGAGTGCGAAGCGGGGCTTGAGAATTCCACCTGGAAGGACCTAGCTCATTGATGACCATTCCTCCAGAACTTCGGTTTTGGAAGGAAGGAGAGAATGCAATCTGAGTGGATGCGAAAACATTTTTAAACTCAATAAAAAATAAAAAATAAAAACTTACCAATTCATCTTCATAAAATTTGTTATTTATATGTTCTTCTACAGCTTCTTCGTTTAATCTAATCAAATCGGCTGTAAAATTAAACTGAAAAAAAAAAACATTCTGTTTAGAATTAAAAAAAAAACAAAAACACAAAAACAAAAACAAAACAAAAACAAAAACAAAAACAAAAAAAAAGAAACAAAAACTAACAAATTTAAAAGGAAATGAGAACTATTTGATAACTTACCAGTTCATCCACATCATTCGCCATCGCTAATAGAAAACCCCCGTTAACATCGAGATCCCAGTTAGAAAGGTCTTGTTCATCGGCAAAATTTCTGTTCATCATCTTCTTGGATAGGTATTCGCAGTTAAGTTTATTTAGTTGAAACTAATTTAATGTTCTTAGCTTATTTTTTTTTTCTAAATTTATACAGTTTGGAAATAAAGGTATTACATAACGTCAGAAGCGGGTTATTCAAACCATAGAGTCACCAGCGGTCACTGATATCTCTGAACCAATAGAAACCGTTCTTTACATAAGCCAATAGAAATCGTCCATTCCGCGCTACGTCACCAAATATCATTCACCCGGGCAATTCAAACTATAGTCACAAAATTTACAGTCACCGATAATTCCCTAACCTAACCTTTTGTTTTCACATTCAATACCCTCATTAATTTAATGGGCAAGAAGATTCTTTTGTGACTGTAAATCCAGCACTGGCAGACTTATCTCCCTTTTGTCTCAATTTTCTCTTTCATTGTTACCAATTTCTAAAGAGCACACAATAGTGGACTATAAATTTTAAGGAAACATGACAAACTTAACACGTCACGCTACACAACGCCACTTAATTAATACCACTTTTTGTTTTTAATATTTCAATAAACCCTCAAATACCCCCGTCATATGCTTCAACCCATTATGAGGAAAATAAAATTAATAAAATTATGAATAAATAATTAAGAATTATGATGATGTAATATTCTATTGTGACCATGTCACCATATTTAACTACTGAAAGCGTGCGACGTACGGTTTCTTTTCTTCATCTTGCATTCTTTCTAGCACACGCACTCGTTCCTTTAAACATGGAGGTATTATAGTTCACTATAATACCTCCATGCTTTAAACGATTACGTGAAACAACAACACTAAACAATTTGTTTGTTTTTGAACATCTTTTTATTTGGAAAATTTATCTTAGCCGAAAGAATGTTTCGGCATTTAATTCCAAGTACTCCTCCCTTCTTTTCCTACCACGATAGACTTTTCGGCGCCACGAACTCGGTCGTTTGCAATCTCTTAAAATTAAAAATAATATATATTTACATCTAAATAATATCTTTAAAGTTAATTAATAGTAAGTTACTTGGTTTATTTGTAGTAATAGGCTAATCACAAATATATATTATTACATAGGAAACTATTAGGCATTGAGACTTAAT